TACATATCAGAAGTATTTTGAAGAAAGAACAAGGTGAAAAAATTGCCCCTTACATTTTCAAAATAAATGATACTCAGACACTAGTGTAATATTATCATATTACATTATCAAGAAACGTAATATTAGAAGTCACGAATATAACGTGATCTGTACACCACGATCAAAACCAAAATTACACTTCACATTTTTGAAAAGAGTTTCCCATTTAGAAATTTAATTATTTATATCGTACAAAATTATTTTTCCGATTATTCAATTACCTAATTATTTTTAGTAAAGTAGAACAATATTAAGAATCATTCACTAATTTTAATTCGATAGATATAACATTCTTGCCACTTTGTGATCCACTACACATGAAAATGATTCATACGTATTTTTAGTAATTATTTTTATTAATCAAGTATCATATGATTCTCGATACCAATTAAAGGTTGTGTGGTAGTTAGAATTACATCATGTTTATTTTGTTAAATACAGAATAGGAATCACACAACCTTCGGAATTTTTAATTCAGATTGTTAAGCAATGCTTGGCATAAAGAGTCTTGATGAAGAAATTCTAAATTAGAAAACTAGTCCTAGATATAATTTACATAGAAGATTTTGTACATCCACGAAAGGTATATAAACCCTTCGTTGTAAACTTAACTTGAGATAGATGAATCATAGATTGTTCATCATTAGTTCAGATAAATAGATTAATCATGGATCGTTCATAGGATTAATAATTCAGAAATGTAATAATAATGAAGACATAATAATAAATTCTTAATAATTAAATAAACAAATCACTCTCTTTAATCTTAACATTAATTAACGAAACCATTCCCTTTCATAAATTATATGCCAATATTTACTAGCTGAGGGACGCCTTAGTCTAGTTGTAAATATGTACATAATTTTTATTTTTATTTTTGAAGGTTACCGGTGAGCCTGTAAAACCGATGAATTTAATTTTGCGCAAAGATAGACTATAATAATTTTTACAAGACCTGGGGTAGACCGGGCATATAACATATAACATATAACACCTAACATATAACATAATTTTATTGATATGAAACCAAGGGTCATAAAATATTTCAAATCTCGAGTACAATGCCAAGAAATTCAATAATTATTATGGGCACGTGTCAATTACAAACCATAAAGAAATTTTATAATTTCACACTAGAAACTTATCTAAGAAAAGAAAGTATTATTTATGAAATTTACCAAGAAGAAGGAAAAATAATAAATGTTAGAAAAAGAAAGCAGCATGAAGGCGTGCTGTTACCTAACAAAACGCAGAAACCCTTAGAAGAAAAATAATCTCATTCTCATTATTACAATATTGATCTATTTTTTATTTTTTTATCTTTATTGTTTATTTATATTTGTTGTTTACAATAATAATACTAATAAAATGTCTGTGATGCTAGTTATTTTTAGTAATATTATAACATGTATTTGAGATCCAATAAACTTAAAAATAAGATGTCAGAACCCAATCACTATAATAACATAACTGTTCAAAACACCATAATAATTAGATGGCTGTTTTACGAGAACTCAAGAATCAATAATACCCGGTTTGCCTTCATGTGCCGATCCATGTGCAATTATGTTCATATACCTCATAACTTGTTCTTCTGCAGATGACAAAATCTTATTTAATATCGTGACCTTTGGTTTGCTGTACTCTTTAGACCAAAACATCAAATTCCTTTCCAATAGTTTGCTTTCATCTTCATTCTCAATGTATTTGTCAAAATCTGCTAGATCACTCATACTTGGGGATATATTCCAATCATTTTTTATTGCTCTTATTAAACTTAAGTTATTGACATACTTTAGTTCAATGATTGAATAGTTTATATCCCTGTTGTATGTGAAAATGAAATTATGTGAATTCGCAATTCACATATGTGAAATTCAAATTTACATGCGTGAAATTCAAATTAGCCAATCAGGATTTCACCCCACTTCATAATATTTCAAATTCACATAATTTCAATTTCACATACAACATCCCCAAAAATAAGCTCTATGTCATCAGGAAACTTTCCCTGCCATAATATTATGTCCATAAATTTTAAAATGTAAAGTTTTAATATTTGCATAATATTACAGGGCCTGCCATAAACTTACATAAATAGTGTAAATCCACATCAGAAAAAATTTCCTGATGGTATCCAAATCTACTGTCTCCTCTGGATTTAGTATTATCAATCAATAAGCATAACTCTGGAATCCTGTTGTTTGGTAACAAAAGTTCAGTAACTGCTTGTAGGATCGCCTCATTTGCATTTAAAAATGAATAGCTTGATAATGGCTTAAAGAAACTTATTGGTGTTTCTTTTAAGACAGTTACATCATTGGTAGGTTCAACATCGGATTTTTTTGAGATGGTATTGAATTTTTTGAAAGTAGTATTGGTCATTATTTCTTTTGAATTTTCATATTGAATAGGATTTTGCTTCTTTTTCTTAGTATTAGTGTTTGTGATATCCGTGATGTCCAATTTTTCCCCCCCCCCCCCCCCCCTTAGTTTTACTTCAGTAGGCTTTATGGCAAGTAAAAAAACAATTCTATTAAAAATCAAAATAGCTAAATGCAAAGTATATACACAGAAGTCTTTTAATGAAATTACAAAGCTTTTTTGATCCTTACTTGTAAGACTCAAAGCTTTATAAAATGTGGTGTGGGCTAATTTTTATTCGTACTATTAACTATCCAAGTATCATCCTTTTCATCAATGTCAAACAATTCAGAAGGTTCTGATTTGGTTACATATTTTGTAATATATTTGGCAAATCCAGTAGAAGTGACATACTGAAAGTTAATATGGGCTTTCCAAAACAACAAAGTCTCTGGGTGATATGGAACAACCATTCTGTCTTCAGGTTTTGTTCTTTGGTAAATATAACATAATAAATTTGGTGAACAATGTGTTGTTTTAGATAAAGGTTGGGGGAATCCCTTAGAACATTGCTTGTTCTCATAGCCTTCTGGTCTGCACCTTTGATCAAGTGATGAATCTGAAACATTGTAACCAAGTTAAATAATTCAGTTTCAGTATTTGGGTCTGGAAGATCAGCTCAAATGCTATTTAATAAGATTAATTCAGGGACTTTTTTTTCGGTATAAGCAAATCCATGAGTGTGAATAGATCCATGGTTTTGAAATTCATCATGTTCAAAGTAGTGCATCCATTTTCCCCACTGAACTAAGTTTGGATTTTTCCACAATTTATTATGAACATTGGTCAATCTGTGTTGATAATGTAGATAAGTGTGCAAAGGACAATTGCTAGGGATAGTGTCACCACTATCAGAATTTTTCAGAATTTGATTTAAATGTGGCCATTTATTTTCACCCATTGTTAAAGTATAGAAAATTTGAGGCAGCACATAAGCATTAATCATTGTATTAACTTGATGCTGTTTTTTTTTTGAAGAAAGGGGTTGCTGTTCTTAAATTTGATGGCAATGTAGTGGTTTTTGGTTCATCTAAAATATTCCAATTATTATATGAGCTTTTGTAAAAAGGTCAACTTGTGTTGGGTGATGCTCCTCTGTTAATATTTTTAGTAGATAATATTCTATTTCTATTTTGAAAGTTTCGTTTCTTTTCAAGGTTCAGGTAAGACCAACTTGGCCAGTAATAGTGTGAACGGAATCGATCATCAGGGCATAGCATTCTTATCTTAATATATTTTCCATAGCTATCTTTGGATGGTTCAAAATTTAATATTTTTTTCACATCTTCATCATCCGGAAAATATAAAAAAATTTTACATGTGTCAATTGTAAGTTTAATAATAAAAAAGTGTAAAACTTACATCGGCACTGTAAGATTTACACAATATTACGTTGGCATTGTAAGATTTATGCAAGTTTATGCTAAATTAATTTCCTGATGATAGTGACCACGTCCATTTGGAAATATGTCAGGAAACATGAGAGCTTCCAGATTTGGATCACCAAATAATATTGGATAGGAAACATTGTCTTTTACTATTGAAACTGCTATCAGATGGCTGTAGTTTGCATCTTCATCATGTATATCTGTTGGAAATGAATCACTTGGAACAACTAAATCATATGGTTTTGGAACCTCATTAGGTAAAGTGCTTCTATATGTATGAGATGACACATTTATTGACTGTTGTGCTAAAGGTAGTTGAAGTGGTATAGCATCATCTGGTAAAGGACGTGTAATATTGGTTGCATATTTTTTAATAAGTTTGTTATTTTGTTTAAGCCAATTTGAGGCAGGAATTAAAGTTTCATGAAACCACATTGATGGTTCATTGGCATTCAGAAAAGCTCCATTTGTTCCAGAATATAATTCTAAAGCATGATAATCATGTGTAATATTGATTTGTCCTTCCAGGTGAACATAATTTGTATAATGATTAGATCCAGTTGAAAGGTATTTATGATGTAACATGGGAACATTTTGAATCTCTGGAGGAATAGATACTAGAATTAGAGGATATCTTTTATTTTTCTCATTTTTACATCCATTACAAACAGCAACTTGTTTTATGTTTTTATTGTTTTCTTTTACAAATGGATCAATATTAGGAAACATTAATGTTAAATTATATATTTAATTTTCATCATAGTGTATCCATTTAGTATTTGATTTCATCATTAGGATTGAACAGTGAGCACAAGGAATATTTGGATATTCAAATAAGATTTTGTTTTCAAATTCTTGCAAGAGATGGCGTAAATCAAGTGATGGAGACCATGGCAAATTAAGATTTGGATTCATAAGAAAAGAATGGGTTACATCTAACTGAGTATTAAATCTAGGATTATTTGGTAAATTTTGATTTATTTCATTTCAATGAATATAGGATTGAAAAATATTGATATCATCATGAGTGTTTTCTGTGGGATTTTCAGAATTTTCATATTCATCTGATGTAGAGTTGAAAAATTGATAATGTTGAATGTTATAATTAGACATTGTAAATTTTATTTTTATTTATTTAAAAAAATATACAAATATATTTATATTTATATGAATTTTGGATTATGTTAATTAATTTATAATTAATTTTTTCCAGTTAACACTTATAATTTACATATTTTTTCCAGAAATGTATCTAATCTATAGAAAAATTATTATTATGGAAAATTTACAAAGGAATAAAAAGGATGGAATTTTTATATTCTATTTGATGTTAATTAATATACACATATATACACTCACTAGACAAAACTCAGGCGCATTTTTAAACAAAAATTACACAAAAACGTACACAATAAAAACACAAGTAACTTATATCATTTTGTAGCTTAGGTTCTCAAAATTTTGCATGCAAAGTTTAAAATTTCTATCGTGCCTAGGAAAATAACAATTAAAAAAATAAAAATTCAACCAAAATTTTTTTCCAAAAATATTTCTGACAAAAAAAATTTAATTGAACAAAAACGTATTTAATAACCAAGCTCAAGTTTTTGGCATGCGACAACAAATGTCTTGAATAAGTATCTATGTTGTTTTGAATTTTTTTGTAAACAAACATCATTTTGAATAAATTTTTGAACAATTCCTTTGAAAAATTTAAACTCAAAATGTAACCCTTAAGTGAAAGTCAATGTGGTGAAATCATTGGTCTATATAAAAATAATGTATCAAACCACAAAATAACTAAAATTGTTGGTGTTCATAGGAAAACAGTGACTCGTACTATTCAAAATTACATTGATAGAAAAGATCTTACAAAAAATTGAAGTGGCCGTCCATGATGTCCTAATTAAATTGATTGAGAGTATGCCAAGGAGAGTTGAAGCAGTCATTGATGGCCAACAAGATATTATTATTATTATTACTTTGTTTATCGAATTTTAAATTTTTGGGTATGATTATTATGTGCATTTTTCAACAATCATTTTTTGAAGAAAAAAAAAAGTCAATTTTGGTGATCCTGTTTTGTCAAAAAAATTTTGGTCGAAATTTTATTTTTTTGATCATTAGTTTAATAAAAATGTTAAAGATGTGAAATTTTGCATATATAATTTGGTGAACCTAAGTTGCAAAACAATGTTTTTTATTTAATTATTATTAAGTATGTTTTTGCGCAATTTTTGTTTAAAAGTGCGCCTGAGTTTTGTCTAGTGAGTGTATATAACAAATAAATAAATAAATAAATAAATAGAATAAATAAATAAAATTTAAAAAAAGTTATTTTATGCATCATGATCATTTTGAGGTTGTTCCTCCTCATCTTCATTTGTCAAATCTTCTATCTTTGGGAAGCAAATTATTTTTTAAATTTACTATAACAACAAAATATAATTTAAATTTATTTTTCTATCCAAATAAAGTAATAAATAAATCTAAAATTTATTAATAGTATAGTTAGTTTATATTTACATACCGCGCGAGTTAGATTAATCTTGTATGGATTACGAGCCAAGTGAGTTGACATTACATTAAGTGTGATATTGGTGGTCAATTTATTTTCTAATAGTAACATAAGTTCATCTATGGTTTCTTTGCCTGGAGGTTCAAGCCCAAAAACTTTAACAACTAATTCACGAGATTCTGTGAGTTTTGATTGTGGTGTAGCAGCAACATTGGTAGCAGTGGAGATGTTTGCACTTTTGCGAGAATTTGGTGAAGAAGTGATTTTTGGACTATCGCTCCTACTTGAAGGAGGACTTTTAATTTCTTCGTTAGAAATTGTAGATTGTAAATCTGCAGTAGGTGGCTGTTGCTGAGATTGTGAAGTAGCAGTTTGTATCAAAGGTGAAGGAGCAACATGGTTTTTGGATATAACGTCATCATCATTTTCATATATAGGATGTCCATCAACTTCAGACACTTTGATATAAAATATGTTCTTTTCTTTTGGTATCACAAACATATGTTTACGATTATTAACAACCAATTGATGAAGGATTAATGATGTGACACTGTTCAATGCTTGGTGTGGTCTCAATCTCCAGTGTAATGGGAATTTTTGCTCGTAAACCAACGGGCACTCGAATTGTCCAGGCTTAAATTTCATTGAAACATTCAAATTTCCATCATTAGGTGTCATAGATAATGCATCTACCAAATCTCCTGTTGTTGACAAATCACCGTCTTCCGAAGAAGACTCCGAGTCAGATGATCCATCTGGAGGCACTAAATATTTGCTGCAATGACGCGTTTCATTCAAATCATTTAATAAAACTAATCTGTTTACACGTTCAGATGCCTGAATTATACAGTTACGAACATGTTTGATGATGTTAGGAAAATAACAATTAAAAAAATAAAAATTCAACCAAAATTTTTTTCCAAAAATATTTCTGACAAAAAAAATTTAATTGAACAAAAACGTATTTAATAACCAAGCTCAAGTTTTTGGCATGCGACAACAAATGTCTTGAATAAGTATCTATGTTGTTTTGAATTTTTTTGTAAACAAACATCATTTTGAATAAATTTTTGAACAATTCCTTTGAAAAATTTAAACTCAAAATGTAACCCTTAAGTGAAAGTCAATGTGGTGAAATCATTGGTCTATATAAAAATAATGTATCAAACCACAAAATAACTAAAATTGTTGGTGTTCATAGGAAAACAGTGACTCGTACTATTCAAAATTACATTGATAGAAAAGATCTTACAAAAAATTGAAGTGGCCGTCCATGATGTCCTAATTAAATTGATTGAGAGTATGCCAAGGAGAGTTGAAGCAGTCATTGATGGCCAACAAGATATTATTATTATTATTACTTTGTTTATCGAATTTTAAATTTTTGGGTATGATTATTATGTGCATTTTTCAACAATCATTTTTTGAAGAAAAAAAAAAGTCAATTTTGGTGATCCTGTTTTGTCAAAAAAATTTTGGTCGAAATTTTATTTTTTTGATCATTAGTTTAATAAAAATGTTAAAGATGTGAAATTTTGCATATATAATTTGGTGAACCTAAGTTGCAAAACAATGTTTTTTATTTAATTATTATTAAGTATGTTTTTGCGCAATTTTTGTTTAAAAGTGCGCCTGAGTTTTGTCTAGTGAGTGTATATAACAAATAAATAAATAAATAAATAAATAGAATAAATAAATAAAATTTAAAAAAAGTTATTTTATGCATCATGATCATTTTGAGGTTGTTCCTCCTCATCTTCATTTGTCAAATCTTCTATCTTTTCTTTTTCCTTCCCTTTTTTTTTTCTTTTTCTTTTTCTTTTTCAAGATCAATGTTATTATCATCATTGTTATTATCATCATTGTTAGTAATTATATTAATTGCTTCAGCAAATTTTTTATTCAAGGATGCTTGAGCCTCTTCAATAGAATCACAGTCTCTTTTCTTGGTTCTACTTTTTTTTGTTTTTGAACTTTCCAAATACGAACTTTCTATCCTTGCATATATATTATTAATTTTTTTTTCTTCATTTTCCTCTGCATTGGTTTTATTGATTGAGTAATTAAACTCTATTTCACTTGCATGCAAATGGATTATCTTTCTTGTACTAGTAATTTTTTTTCCAACTGCCATTAATATTGTATTTTTTAAGTGGTCTTTTATCCTTTGGAATCTAAAAAAAAAAGATCATTTAGTAAAAAAAAATTTTTTCTTTTTTATTTACAATTAAATAAGTACCATGTAGATATGCTTGTGTATGATACCAGTACATTTGAATTAATTATTTTATTTCCTGTGACGCTATTAAAAAATTCCTTGCAAGGTAGAATGACCCACAATCACTATCTTCAATTTTTTTATATGAATTTTTGACATAGGGAGCAGACACAACAAATCAATGGAGAAGCTTCTGGTAGTTCTGTTTTATTCAAATCTTCTTCAATTAAAATTGTTTGTATAAAGTTCAGCTGTTTATAACAAAATAATAATTAACATTTTTGCTACAGTAATTACAACACTATCCCCTAAACAGTTAATCAGCTATTGATAGCTGATAAAATTTTTCTGATATAAAAAATTTTTTCTGAAGGCATCACTTTCTAATACGAAATGATCTTTAGATTCAGCTGATTAATCTATAAATAAATCCAGTTGTTGTCCTTAAAATCTTCTTTAAAAGTTGGTCGATTGACTGTTTTTACTGTTTTTACTTTGCTGATCGTTAAATTGACCAATAATAATGATCAAAACCTTGATTTGTGTTACCATTCATATGGGCCAATTTGTTCGATCGGCAAAAGAAAAAAGTATTAATGACACGCGGGCGTTACATTTTGATGATCATTATTTATTTTTAGATATATATAAATAATTAACTGTATTACTATTATAAACGTAATTTTTGAAACGGGATTCTTTTTTATTGGTTTCTTTTTAAGTGGGGTTCTTATTACTACTATATTTAAAGGTCGTAGGAGAATATCTTTACTTAGGAACACAAGAGTGATTATTATGTGCGTTATAGATTCGTGTATGATGACTTGTGATTTTAATATATAAAAATAATCAATTTTTAAATGTCACAGGATGTAGATCAAAAAAATTAGCCCGTATGTAAAATATACTCTGACTGTTTAAGAGATAATAGATATTTAAACATGAATATTCTGTTCCATTTTCTATGAATATTCGTCCAGTTACTTGCAAAATACAATTTTTGTTAAACTTGATTATTAGAGGCTCTAACCCTCCAAGGTAACCTTTAAATAAAATTTCATTATAATTATTATTTTCAACATCTCTATAAATGGCAGAACCATCAATTGTTTTACTGTTGATGGATACATTTTTAATAAAAATGAATGAAATAAATATTGAGCACATTTTTATTTTTATTTTTAACCAAAACCAATTTGCCAAGTAGAAATAAAGTGAGGAAAAATTAAAGATTCTGTTGAACAAAATCATGAACAAAATAGAAAATGAATTAAAAGAGCAGGATAATTTTTTCAATATTTATTTTTTTAAAACCTTTATATACCTCTCAATTGATATATAATATGGATTCATTGACCATTTAAAAATGATTAGTCAATTGATATATATATGGATTCATTAAGAAACATAAAATTTTTATTTGAAAATATTACTCAATTGATATATATATATGGATTCACTAGAAACATAAAAATTTCAATTTATGTGTGAAAAAAAAATTTTTATCATGTAATATTAAATATAAAGTAATTAGTAAATTTAAAAAATAATTTGCTTCCCAAAGACAAAGATCATTTTGACAACAATCGGCCAGCACAAGAAAAAATCATTTTCAATAACATCAACCTTGTTTTTTTAATTCCATGCTTCCCAAAAAATTATGTTTATAAAAAACATTGTTTTAAGCTGCTTAATATTAAATATTAATACTAAATATTAATTAATTAATTAAGTACTTCTCGCTTTCAATTTTGTAAATTGTAAAACAGTAAAATCCTTTTTTGTAAACTAAATTCCATTTATTTATCATTATATAGTTTCGTTTTTTTCTTACGTTAATAAATTACGTAAATAAAATTACATAATATGAATTATAATAACGCGCAAAAAAGTGAAATAATATAAATATTGGATTAGATAATGAGTGACTTTTGTCTTTAATTTCATCACAAACAAAATTTGTGCTACATTTTAAGGGATAATAAATAACAGAGGGAGCAGAAATCAAAGATTTTTGGGAAAAACATGCACTTTATTTGTTGTTTATGTGCACTGTTAGTTTGTTTCTCAATCACCATAACTATGATAACTTTAATCAATGTTAATTGGGTTGTATAATGAGAAAGGTTATATTTCAAAGAACCAAGCTTGTAAATTGTACTGACATAAACCGTAAACCTTCATCCGTTGTTGTTATTATTATTATTATGCTACAATTCAAAAGCTATAATTAAAACAACAAAGTAACATAAAATTGTGAATTTGTAACAAAAAGTTGATTTAGTTGGTATATATCAGCGCCGTCAAAAAAATGTTAAATTTATATTTTTTTTTCTATTATAAACTAATTAAAAATGAAACAAATTAAAACTATTATATTTTATATATATAAAAAAAATCGAACCGCGTTCGAATTATCTTCAATAATTGTATGTAGAGTAACTTTTGCAAACACACGAGTTGTGTTTTTGACTTTGAAATTAACTACGCGTAATATGTGCTTGAGCTGGCTTTATAGTCTGAATTTGAAACACACAGACTGGTCAATATTGGTATTTTTACATAATAGATAAGACAGGTTTAGGTACAAAGAAAACAAATAAACAATGCTAAAATGCTTTTATTGTTGAATCACAATGAATCAAATCACTAGCTAGAGTTTGATGATGATGTTTTTTTTTTTTTTGATGATGAAATTTTTCTTTAAATATTGCAATTGTTACTTTTCAATTTTCAAGATTCAATGTAACTATTATTAAAAGTTGTTACCAAAGTAAAACTACATTTTAACTTCAAGGCTGAGATGCATGCATTCAGTGTTGAAATTTCAGCGCGGTGTTCCATGCACAATCCCTCAAAAGGAAACAAAATGGCCTTTAATAGTTTCTAAATTTGTAATGATTATAATAATTATACAATCAATCCAAAAAAAAAGCGTTTTCATTGAATTCGATTATAATGGAGGCCTGCGTAACAATATATTTGATTGATATAAAAACGATCGTCTTTCATAAATTTTTTTAATATCATTAAATCAATAATTTTTTGATAATAATGACTGATAATCTTGATAATATAATAGAAGTTGAAAAACAAAATATTATTACTACTTATAATGAAAGTAGTGGTAGTGGTAAAAAAAAAGATCAATATTATATTGCAATTAGCAATGATGGAGAATATATAGCTAGACTTGATTGTAATAAGGATGAAAGTTTAAGATTAAAAATTACACATCACAAAAATTTTGAATTATTAAATAATGATGATAATGATAGTGACATTGACAAAGACAAAGTAAAGATTTGTAATATTGTTAAAAAATTAACATTCTTAGATGAACTTAATCCATATGTAAAACCTTCAGAGGCAAAATATCCACAAGAAGATAATAGAAAACAAGAACAAACAAAAAAGGATAATAGCAATCAGGAAGAACAAATAAAAAAGGACAATAGAAAACTTTTAATTTGGTCATTTTCTATATCAAATACGATTTCTTTTAATAGTAAACCAACAATTTTAGTGGCAATTTCAAGAGTAGTACCAAATGATATGATTGATCGTGATAGACCAATTAATCACTTACTTGATAAACTTGAGGAATATGAAGAACTCAAATTAAAATATCAAAATATGAAAGAACTTTATCCCTTGCATACACAACCTTCTAGTACTGTAATATTTTATATAGATATAAGCAATATTTATAAAGATGATGATAAAAGTAACAATAACAATTATGAGATTAAGATAGATGAAAATGGAATTTGTTTAACTAGTAATATTGGTGGAATTGTGAGGTTTTTACCAGAAGTTGAAAAAAACAAAACAAGTCTTTTAATAACAAATGTAAAAGGATTTTATAAATCTCTTGATAATTTAGATAAACCAAATATTTATTCAATTTTAAATTTAAAAAGATTTCTTTTTCCACCAAAATTCAAAAAAGATATTGAAACTCAGTTTGAACAAACACCTTGCCTGGAAAAACTTCTTTCCTATATTTATAAAAACTATTTTCTATTTAATCAATTTAAAAACAGAATCCAAGCGTTGGAATTATATTCAATGTTAACAATGGAAGCAGAGCAATGTTTTTTTACTCGTGAAGAATTAAAAACTCAAAAATATGGCATTCCTACTTATGCAATTTCATTAAATAATCTTTTGCTAGCATTTACATCTGGAAATAAAGATATTAGAATTTATTCTATGGAATCAGGTCTTTTTATTGCTTTAAAAAATTTGGATGACAAAGATGAATTTTTATTTCTAGAATTTATACATAATGATGAAAGATTATTCATTGTTACACGAAATGATACCAATCATAAAATCTCTATAAAAATTTGGGATATTTTTAATTCTTCTCCTGAAGATTTTAAATATGAAATTAACAACAATATTATTCCAAAAAAATTTGATTGTTTGAATATTGCAAGATCAAATGGGATGATTTTTTTTGTTAAAGAAGATGGCAAAGTCTTAAATGTTCTTAAAAATATTGAATTCAAAGAATTCAAAGTATTTGAAAATGATGATGACAATAATAATGGAATAAAAGAAGAAAAATCATTTACTGTATTTAAAAATTTTAAGAAAGTTGACAAATATTTAAACCATTGGTATTATTGTGCAGAAGATGATTCTGATAAACATAAAATATTTGATCCTTTTGAAAAACATAGTGATCTTGGTGGTCCAAAAACTTTACTATTAGTAGATAATAAGGAAAAATGGGTTGATGTTGATCAAATTACACCAATAGTAAATAATAAGGAACAATGGGTTGATAGAAACAATTATGAAAAAACATCTGCTTTTATTGATGAAAATCAATCATTACAATTATTTATTGGTTTAACTACTGTTCAAATATGGCGTAAAGTTACTGATGAATCTCCAATTCTTGAATATATTTGGACGCTTAAACATGTTAAAAATAAAAATAACAATGATGTGGAAATTGAAAATCATGATGGCTACAAACATTTAAAAATAAAGAATTTGAGAGTTGGTTGTAGAAAATTTGAACTAGAGGTTACTTGGGGTTTAGATAATGGGAGCAGCAAAAAAATCCAATGGCCTTATCCAGATCAATATGTAACACCTATAAGACATGCTTGTAAGGCTCTTGAGTATCTTAATTTTAAAAAAGATTTATTAGTAAGCTATAAAAAACAACGTGGATTTGAAGAAATGTATGAATATATTGTAAAAATTATTTTGAAATTCATTAGAGACAAACCTGAAATATGGAAACTTATGGATACTCGTTATGAGGTTATGTCAAACCTTATCAATGGTGGAGTTAATTCTCTTATAAAGTATATTTTATTTGGTAAAGATCAAATTGGAGACAATAGTATTATTCAAAATACAACCAAAAAAACATCCTATAATACTTCTAATCACTTGCATTTACATTTACCAAGAGCTAAACAATGGCAAAAAAATAAAAATGAAAATGAAGATGAAGATGAAGATGAAGATGGAAATGGAAATGGAAATATTCAAAATAATGCATTAGTATTAGCAATCAAATATTACACTGAAAAAAATGATAATTTAATTATAGGCTATTTATTAGAATATTATTCCAACAATGCTATTGAACATATTGGATGGATGATCACTGTTTCAACAACTTTACCTTTACTTTTCCAATCTCATTTAGAAGATTATGTGTATGATTTATTTTACAAAGAATGTTTTACTGATAATAACATAGGAACAAATTTTAAACTTTTTTTAGATAAAGAATTGACTGATAATAGCATAGGAATAAATTTTAAGCTTAAAGAAGATACTGAAAGCAACCTCCTGCAAAATAGTGTAAAGAAAATTCCTTTTAAAAAAATAGCTTTTGGAAAAGATAATCAAAATAGAGCAAATGAGACTAAAGAGAAAACTGCTCAAAAAGCTGAAGGAAAAAACAAACACAATACAGTACCATTCAACTTGTGTGTAGTACCACTTCCAAATTTCACAGTTAATAAGATTGAAAAGAAAAATGTTCAAAAAAATGTTGTTATAGCTTGTCTTAGACATCTTATACTTCCTTATAAGTATATTGGTGATGAAATAAAACTTAGTTCATTTACTCATATGATCAATTTAGACAGAAAAGGTTTAATTTTTGATAATCCAGCAATAGAAGCTCTAATAAATTTTCGTTGGAGACCAGCAAAAATATATTTTTTATTACTTTTCTTTACTTTTATACAATATGCAGTTTGTTATGGTATATTAATTTGGGCCTATACAACACATCAAAACAATTCAAATAATCTTCGAAACTTTTTAATTTTAGTTATGGGTTATTTTTATTTTACAGGATATCATCTTTTATTAACTGAATTTAGACAATTAAAATATTATGGATTTAAAAAATATGTTACTGGTAGATATAACAACATATTGGATATTATTGCTATTATTGTACCCTTAATAGTTGAAACAACTATAATAGTTAAATCATTTGAAATTGAAGATGCATTTGGTAGTGTTAAACCTGATCAAGGAACAATTGCTGCTATATCTTTTTCAATGTTATTTCTTTGGATTGAATTTGTAAGTAAAGCTATTGTTTATCATTTTTGTAATAATTAACTAATTAATTAATTGTTTATTTAAAAAGCTTTCATACCTTAGATTACATGAAGGTACATTGTATATATATATATTATTTTGTAAATATAAAAATATATTAAAAAAAATTTAAATTTTTATAGTTATAGGGATTTATATTATAATCACAGATAATCTTTTGGTGGCTATTTGGCCATTTTTGTTATTTGTGTTGATTGTTATATTGGCATTTGCTCATGTAATGTAAGTCGTATATTTGTATTTTAAAACATTCTCTTTAAAATAATATAACAATAATATATTATTATAGGTATATATTGCTACAAAATCCAGATGATATAGGATTAGCACCAAGTGTGAATACATATTCTATTGTCAATACAACTACCAATCAAACAGTGTATAATGATATAACAATTAAAGCAGATTTTAATAGCACATCATCAATTGATAATCCATTTTCAAACTTTTGGAGTTCAATTCCATGTAATATTAAATATAAAGTAATTAGTAAATTTAAAAAATAATTTGCTTCCCAAAGACAAAGATCATTTTGACAACAATCGGCCAGCACAAGAAAAAATCATTTTCAATAACATCAACCTTGTTTTTTTAATTCCATGCTTCCCAAAAAATTATGTTTATAAAAAACATTGTTTTAAGCTGCTTAATATTAAATATTAAGTATTTAGTATTTAGTATTAATATTTAATATTTAATATTTAAATTAAGTACTTCTATACAATGCTTTCAATTTTGTAAAACAGTAAAATCCTTTTTTGTAAGCTAAATTCCATTTATTTATTCATTATATTACTTTTTTTATTTTAAAAAAATCAATGATCATTCCAATGTATATAAGATCTAGATGATTGTGTAACAATTTTATATATCAATAGATAATATTAATATAAGCATAGATTGTACTTGTAAAACCAAGGTTTGTTTGTTATATTCACTCATTAATTTCAATGTATATAAGATCTAGATGATCATGTAACAATATATTAATAAATAAAGCATAGATTGTACTTGTAAAAACCAAGATTGTTTTTTATATACAAGCTAGTAATAGGCTACTTAACTTTTAAACATTTCTATTGTAGTGTTGCTATGATAGTTTCATTTCGTCAATTAATATTATAATAACCTATAAATAATTATAAATCAGTCTCTTATAATTAAAGTCAAAATTTCTAACACAACCTTTCAAGTAGTTATAAGTGACTTTGTAGGGAACACTTTGGCACAATTGTTGCCACTGAATTTGTTTTAGTCTGCATACTAGTTGGAAGAAAATCTTAAAATAAGTGTGAAGAAAAGAAATGCTTCTGACCTAGCATAGAATAACCAATATTTAAGCCAACCTTTTCTTTTAACTGTCATTAGAAAGTTCTAGTCTGGCTCTAAAAATTTTATTATGGTTGAAAACCGCTTGCTATATGAAAATGGAGATTTTTTTTTTGAAGTGGACAATAATAATTTTATTTGTGTAATAGTAATGTTTATATTGAACATTTGATCTGCAATGTCACCTTTGGAGCAGTGCCAAGTTAATATTGGTAATGAATCCTGAATATTAAAATACTGACTATACTATATAGTCACATTGTTAATTAAGGTGAACTTTTAATGTGTTAAAAAATTCAACACATTACATCATATGCATAATATATATTATGTTGTGTAATACGTGGGGTGGCTGAAAAGTAATGAGAAAATAGCTTTATTTCAAAAACTTTATTACAACTTTTAAAAAATTTTATTTCAT